TTTAGCTGAAAGTTGTGCACATTTATGCAGTTATTACATCTTTTTTAAAACAGTTTTATCTAAAAATGCTTTTTTGTTCCCTGAACACATCTACTTGTTTCAGGAAACGTCTGCCAATGACACCAGGACTTTTAATCAAAATTAAGACATTATTTACTTAAAACAAAACTGAAAAGTTACCTGCAATTTAGTTTTGTCTTATTCCAGGTGTACTAAGATATTTGGACTAGAAACTAGACAGAAGTACTTGTTAAGATTTTGTGTTTTTGCAGTGCAGGGTGCATCTGTGTGTTTCTGTGTGGAGTTTGGACGTTTCTCCCTTTACTGAGTGACCAGCTTTCTGATGCGCTGTGGCGTCACTGTTTGAGTGTATTCATATGGAGAAACTTTAAAAAGTAAAAAGGAAAAAAAATCACAAAGGCTTCCTGTCCCTTTTGCTTTTTGGAGCACAATGCGTGAGGAGCGAGAGGGAGCCGTCTGAAATCAGATACTGAAGCAAACACCTGCAGGGCGAAATGGAGCATCAGTGAATGAGTCTGTAAATAAAAATAATGCCTAACCGTTGCCATGTTTATTCTGGATAAACTATACTGACAACCTTTATTATGATATCTTTTAAATCATAAGAAGTGCTATTCCATCAGAGGGTAACTTGTACGGCCTTAAAGTTTTATTGCAACATTTTGTGCTTTTATAAAAGTGACGACAGAAACTGCACTGCAAAAACACAATTCTACCAAGTATTATTGTCTGTTTTCCAGTGAAAATATCTTAGCATCGCAAGTTACTCATTGGGTTGTTGCTAGGTAACCAAAGAGTTAGTGAGTTAGCTTCGCTAGCTAGCGGCTAACGTATTTCCTCTGCCTACATCCCCCAGAATCCTGTGTGGTTCTGAATCAGAGTTCAGTGAATGCTCTATATATCAAAAATGTAATTGTCTGTTTATTGATCACTTGTCCATTGCCATATATATTGTTATTGATTTATTGTCCAGACATACTTGCTGTATGTCCAAGTGATTTGTTCCCAAGTCGGGCAGTAATATCTTGTGACTGGTACAGTCATGACTTCGGAAGGCTTTTGATCCAAATCACGTCAGGCTCAGCAGCGGATGCCGCTTTTCTTTTTACTGCTTGTTTTCCGTCGGCTCTCCAGACTGCATTCGCCTCAGTTTCTGGCCCTGCAGATGTACACGGCTCCAACCGTTTCTGCCTAACCTGGCAGGCGTGTTCAGACATGTATGCACAGACGGTTCGAGTGCTGACACCATGTGAAATTGCAACCCCTTTTCGTCTGGTGGAGACATGCATATTCACAGACGCATGAGTGTGAAGAGCCATGAAAAGAACTTTAAAATCGATTCTGTGTGAATTCTGGAGAGGCTTTTATATGATCCTCATGCTGAGAGGAGAGGACGCAGACTGAGAGGATGTTCAGACGTGTAGGGGGTCGAGGAAGGGTGGTCTGCTTTTCATTTTAATCTGTAATGACTGCAGCAATTAAGCAGTTAAGTTAAATACTTAAATTCTTCCAACATGTTTCCTAAATCAGCAAAATGAACAAATGTGACCAGTGCAATTTTGGGATTCGGCCTCAGGCTGCACGGGGTCGCTTAGTGACCCGTTGACGAAACCACAGAAGGAATAATTTGTTTATTTTGGAAGGAAACTGCTTCCTTACTGGCTTTTTTTGCAGGAAATGGAAGAGAAAAACATATTGAAGTAGAAAATCTAATTTCATGGTCATTGGTATAAGCCATTTGTTTTTCTAGCTTATATTATAAAGTGATTTGTCTGACACCATTCAAATAAAAATATATATATGAAAATTGCAGTACCATATAAAAAAGTCAGTGACTAATTTAAAATTAAAAGTAGCTAAACTTGAAAAAGATTAGCTGGATAACCTTTGACCTTTATGTTTTAGTTTTAAAGCATTTGGGTATTTAGTAGTAGCGGTTCTGGATCTGGAGCAGTTTTACCAGAAAACCTTATCCTTTCATTCAGTACTCTTCAGTCCACCGTCTCAAAACAGGGGAAAGTTTCCCATAGATCTCTGTTGAAGTGTAAGTCACTTTAAAATGTAAAATTTTTAAAAGATCTTTTGGAAAAACAGACAAGAAGATCAAAAAGTAAGCATTTGCTCCGCTTATTTTTGAAGTTAAAGGAGGTGCATTGTGCAAATTATTGTAGCACATTTTGGTTTCTGTGGCTCCTAAAAGTCCAAACGCTTAAAAAGACAAGCGCATATAGACAGGCTTTGGCAATAAATTAATGCTTTGGTGTGACTGAAATGAAATGAAACCTCCTGAATGTAACATCACCAGCTGATTACCTAGCAACCCCTGCAGAGTTCCAGCACATTTGGTTGTCCGGTTGTACAGCTGTAAAATGGTTGCTGGAAGAGACAAGTGTTTTGTTGTTGACTCATCATTCAGAAATCACTTGCTGTGTTCTTGTTGGTTGTGCAGGAGACTCTATTTCTGCTTTTCAAAGATGAACGATGGTATGACTGCGCCATTTTTCAGATGGGAGTGTAAACGTTGCATTTGGGCTGCATGCATGGCAGCAGCTTATTTGGACTTAAAGTGACAAGATACCCTGAAACAATCAATGTTCTGTTTTCTGTCATAACTCTGGAGAACATTTTTATCTTTTCCCGACTTGGCAGCCTAACTGGAACATTTCAGTCCTCGTCCCTTACGGTCCGGTCTTGTCTGCGACCCGCTGGCTCCAAGTCAAAAGCCTCCTAATGCCCAACTCATCTCTCTCTGTTCCTTTCTGACCCAAAATCCAAACTGACCCAGTTCTGTGGGAGCCCGGACCTTCCTGCTGGCCCACATCAAAGCCTCATTCACCCAAACCTGAACTGCATGGCCCCTGACTATGCCCGATGTGGTTCCCATCTTATTCAGCTATTAGAAACCTGACCCACTTTGTTAATAGCTAACTACTAGCGCATCTAATTGGGCCATAATTACTTCCTAATGCCTGCTTTGTTTCGTGCTGCTCACATTAAACGCTGAAGAGGAGGAGAAAGGGAAGGCTGCTTTGTGAGTGGCGATTCCCAATTAGGACATGAAAGAACTGGCAACATGAATAAAAGGGGAGATCCTCATGAAAATGTGCATACAGTATAAAAGTGTGTTTGTTTCCCACTATGAATAAATGCTGGTGTGAATAAAACATTCATTCTTTGGACTGATACTTTATTTTGAATAAGACGTAATTCAGTCTGTAGTTTCACTATGCCTTTTATTTAAATACTTGTCCAGTCATTTCTGATAATTAATTACATTTCTTACTAAGCCTGTGGAGCAATATCCTATAAAAACAAGCAGATATGATGAGGAAAGCTCTTAAAAAACAAGAATGTTGCTCTGCACTGCAAAAACACAAAACCTTAGCAAGTATTTTTAGTCTAGTTTCTATTGCACACATATCTTATGCAATATGATAAAATAATTCAGAAGTAGCTTTTCAGCAAGATTTAGTAGTTTGTTTTAAGTCACTAATTCCTTAATGTTGATTAAAGATATTTGCAGTAGAAACTACACCAAAAATATCTGGTAAGATTTTGTATTTTTGCAGGGTGGGTGTAGGTTTTGCCTGAAATTAAAAATGACAGTCATGGTTTCATTTTTTTCCAAAACCAAAACTGTGACTTTTTAACTAGGGGCTTTTTTTAAATATCTTGGCTTATGCAATATAAACAGTCTATCCAAGTTATCTCTAGTTTCCAGTTGTAATAAGATAACAGAACAAATAGATTATGTAAACTAGAGAAAACGGCTGCATGAGAGACTTGGCCTGAAGACCTTGTCTGTGTTGTCTCACTGTGGTGCGGGTCTTTTGTCCTCCCCGCTCAGGCCCTCTCTCTCTGTCTCTCTGTCTGGCAGTTGGTGTTTGAATATTCAAATGTTGCCGGTTGGAGCTGCAATGTGCATGTTCCCAACCTCAGAAACCCTCAGGATAGTTTTACTTTCAGACAGGCTGCAACTTTTAGCAGGAAGATCTGTGTTTGCTCCCGGTAAGTTTGCTTCTTGGGTCACATGGTGCAGATTTACGCAGGAACTAAAGCGAGGTGTTGCAAGATTATTTCTGTTTTTAGACGAGGTTGAGTTCATGCATCTTGCTGTTTTTTTTTCTTTTTCATTTTTTGCAGAGCAGAAGCACTCTGACCAAAAGCAGGCCTTATAAGTGCAGCAGCACTGCTTCTTGATGTGGCTTACTTGGAGAGGCTTGAAAGCACTCGATTCTGCTCCGCACTGCTCTTCTAAACAGTTTATGATGGACTCCCTTATTGTTATTGCTACGGGTTTTTTACGACAAACTCACGGCAGGTTTATCCCCTTGCACACGGGTGTCTAAACTTTTTGTACCAAGGATCAAACTTCCCAAGTTGCAGGTTCTCAAGAGCCAAAATTTTCTCCAATTAAAAGCAGAAAAAAATTGTTTTTGTGATTATTTTCTTCTTTATATGCACAACAATAAATTAAGCAAGTAATACTTTAATGAAATAGGCAATAATGACATTTGTCTTAATGATTATTTTTTAAGTATTTGTTAAAATTAACACTATGTTGTAATAGTGTAATATTATACAGGTAAACATTTACAACATGCTATGATAGCTGTGTAGTGATCACAGCGCTAAGTCCCGCCTCCTGGCTCTGATTGGTTGTTTCTAGTCAGCACTGGAAGAAGAAGACAGAAGAGCTCGATTTTTTTTTTCTTTTTCCACAAATTATCTGTCTTGTGCCAAACTGTCACAACATGGTGACAGTTTTAACAAATATGTAGTTGTATTAACCTTCCAGACCTCTCAGGTCTTCTGGTTCTGGTTCAGCTCTGCATCCCCAGAACATGGAGAAGCAGCATTCAGCTTCTATGCACCACAAATCTGGAACAAACTTCTGAAAAACTGCAAAACTGCTGAAACACTGAGTCCCTTTAAATAAGTTCTTCATTGTTTGGTAAAATGTCTGTTGTTTGGTGCAGATTCCTTGGACGGCATGACCTCACAGCTCTCTGTGATGACTGAACATGCTTCGTCGTCTGCAGTGACCATCGGCTCCTCCACCAGCGTCCTATCTGCTACCTCCCACCTGGTTCCTCCATCTTCCTCCTCGGCCTCCCCGTCTACCGCCATTCCCCAACCCAACAGCAGCAGCAAACCCTGGAGGAGCAAGTCAGCGAGCGCCAAGCACACCAACGCCCAGCCGCCATCGTCCACTTGCAACCCGGCATCTGTAATGCAGTCCAACAAGCCAGAGAAGGACGCATCAACCAAGGTTGAAGCTCCTCCCAAAGCTGCCACCCAGAAGTCGATGCTTGAGAAACTTAAGCTGTTCAACAGCAAATCAGGATCTAAAGCGGCAATGCCCCAACCGGACAGTGCCGCCCCAGTCCGGACACCTCTGGAGAGATTGGAAACCGGCTCCAACACTGACCCTTTAGAGGAAGAAGACGGCAACCTGCGACCAGGGATGAACGGGACGACAGCTTCAACAACCGCCAGCAGCCCCAAAATTGCTCTGAAGGGCATTGCCCAACGCACTTTCAGCAGAGCTTTGACTGCCAAGAAGGGTTCAGTGAAAGGCCTGGACAAGGAGAAAGGGAAGGAGAAGGAGAAAGGGAAGGAGCTGGGCAAACGCGGCTCTGACAGAACGGAGCTAAGGGGGGAGGAGCTTAAGGAGGAAGTAACGCCAATTCCTCCGGATGTGGAGGCGTCCAACAAAAAGACGTCCAAAATTGCTAGTTTCATTCCCAAGGGTGGAAAAGTAGCCAAAAAGGAGAGTTCCACCCCAGCACAAAGCGGAATACCAAAGCCAGGAGGCAAAGCCCCGGGAGCTGGGGGCAAAGCTTCTTCAGCAAAGGAAGCGGCGGAGAGGCCTCGGAGCATGCGGCTGGCGGAGGCGGGCTCGCATGCACCGCGGGACTCTGGACCCAGGGACAGCAGGCACACTCCAGCTCTACCTCCAGCTTGGCCTCCACTGAAGGGAAGCCCGGCGCCGCCCCGGTGGCGGGTTTAGGCACTACGCAGAGCACGGCCAGCAACACTGTCAGCGTGCAGCTACCTCAGACGCAGCAACTGCACAGCCACCCCAACACGGCTACTGTCGCACCTTTCATGTACAGGTAGGAGGCCGGATTATCCTGGGAGCTTAAATATTTGTGAACAGCACAAAGGTTTGGTTTTGGAGGAGGAGCTGCATGAATCGTTGCAAGAGTTCTGACTTTAATCTCAGAATTCAGACTTTTAAGGACAAAATTTAAAATGTTTTCTCATAATTTTTACTTTTAATCTGTTCCTTAAACTCATGATTCTGATTTTTATTCTTACACTTCTGACCTTTTTTCAAAATTCTTGCTTATTTCTCAGGTTTTTTGGAATCTCATTGAAATACCTTGAAATCCAGCAAAACATATCGATTCTTTTGGTTGTAACATGACAAAATTACAGAATGAACACAATTAGAAAACATTGCGTAACACAAAAAGCTAATTTCCTTTTGTTTGCTTGTCAAATATGTATTTACTGTTTGTGTTATGTCGACTTTGCCTCCCATAAACCATAATCCTACAAAAATGCAGAAAGTTTCACTGAAAATAAACCAAGTAAGTGTTATTTTTATTGCTAAAACATTTTTTGTGGATAGTGAGTCGTTAAAATTCAGACGTTATTTCTCCTCAGACTCTAAAGGCTCAGCTGAGTTAGTCAGCGAGTCTGGAGTCGGGCAAAGAGCAAAGGCAGCACATGAGCGAGACATTCAAACGTCACAGTGTTCAGCCGCAGCGTTGTATTGATTTATCCTTCAGAGACAAAACGTCACTGAACTCTGAGGCTTTAGCAGGCATTCGCTTCACGCCGCAGTCACAAGACTTGAAATGCAGCAGATTTAAAGTCTAATCAGGTTTATCCCTCCTTCGTGACAATTTTCTGAATATCAGGTTCCCCCTAAGTACGCCATAATTCACAATCAAAATGATTCCCTCACTTTAATCAGTCGCACAATTTGTTTTCTGGCAGAACACAAACAGATGGCGAGGGAACGGTGAACTCGGAGAGCGGCTCAGTGGAAAGAGGCGGAGACGTTTCCTGCACAAAGACCAGCCAGACCTCCATCGAAGACCTTTCAGGTAGGCAGTGCCTGCTTCTGTCCACAGTTTACATTTTAAATCTCAGTTTTATTACTTTTTTAAAACAATATTTTGTTCAGGTGAAGACCCAGAGACCAGACGGCTGCGGACCGTCAAAAACATTGCAGACCTACGGCAAAATTTAGAAGAGACCATGTCTAGTCTGCGGGGAACTCAGGTCACTCACAGGTAAATAATAACAAAAAATACTGATGGTTAAATATTAAACCGCAACTGACTGCACTTACTTTCTCATCTGAACATAGAGGCATCAACTAAATTTTATTTTAATAATCTTTTTCAAAAAAATGATGGTGATAATAGTCCGGATGCACCGATCCACTACTTTCCAATACGATACCAAAATCTGACAGGGTTTTTCAGCCCTATTTTCAATCTTCTGCCTGTTTTTTTGTTGCGGTTCTGTTAATAAAATTCCCATTTTGTACTTTCATTTATCTGATTACTCTTTGCTTGATTGTTTGTTTTTTAAATTACATTTTTTTCCTCAGTACTCTGGAAACCACCTTTGACGGCAGCGTTACGACAGACATCAGCAGTGCCGGCGGCGGCGGATTGTCCGGCAACAGCAGTAGCGGCGGCGGGAGCGGTCGAAGCATCCTCAGCCTTACCTCCGCCCGCTCGTCGCTGTCACCGTGGCGACTGGGGCAGTCCAGCCCTCGTCTGCAGGCGGGCGACGCCCCTTCTGTTGGGAACGGCTACGGCGGGCGAGGCGGGCGCTACCTGTACCCTGGGCACCTGCGGAGGCAGCTGGCCGGCAGGGGCGGCGCTCTGTGCAGCGTGGAGCTGGGGGACAGAGCTGGAGACGAAATGGAGCTGGACGGCCCCGCCGTGGAGGTCACCGGCTACATGAGCGACGGAGATGTGCTGAGCAAGAACGTCATGCGCACTGACGATGTCACCAGTGGGTAAGTGGGTGGAGGCAGCAGATTTTACTTTCACTGTTTTTGTACTTCCGTTTGCGTTTCTACTACTTTTAAAATCAGCCCAAGCCTTCAAATAACAAAACAGAACAAAATGTTACAAATCAGCAGGTTCTGCCTGTTACCTAGCAATCCCGAAAACACAGTCGCTTACCTAACAACACATACTGAGCTCCAACATGTTTGGTCAGTTGGTTTTACCACTGTATTTGATGTACAATGGCCAAAAAAAACAGACGAGCAGTTTTTTTTTTGTTGACTTTTCATCCAGGAACCGCTTGCTGCTTTCTTGTTGGTTGTACTGGAGGCTCCGCTTCTGCTTTTCAAAGGTTGTATAATTGCTCATCTTTTTGGATCTATTTAAAGTGACTGTTGAATCTGAAGGGAACTGAAAAAAGGCAGAACAGATCAGACTGAAATGTCATTATCTGAGAATAATTTTATGCCAAAAAATGTAATGAAAATGTTTTCAGTAGACCATAAAACTATCCTAACCTGTTCAGGGAATTATAACAGATCACTTTTAAAGGTTACGACGGCTAATTGAATATATATTTTATATACAAGTTCAAATGTTGGTGTTTTAATGGTTCATATACAGTTTTATAACAAACCAGAAGAGGGCAGTAGTGTTCCTTAATGACTGAACTTCTAAAAATACATATAAAGGACATATTGACTCAAAACAGGCTTTTATATTTAGTTAAAAAGTTACTTGTAAGTTAGTTGTTTTAAATTTTTTTATTTTAAGTGTTATAAGATATTTTGCACTAAAAATAGACCAAAAATGCTTTGCATTATTGTGTGTGCAGCTTTATAACAACATTTATCTACAATGATTCAAAGCCAACATGCAGGATGTACCATCAGAGGCATTAATGCTGATCATCAGATCCACTGTTTATGTTTCTTTCACAAACCCACTGTCTATGTTATAACATGCTCTTTGCATATTTTGGCTGTTACACTTATCCAAAGCTCTGCTGTCATCGTTGTTGTCAGATGAAGAGGTAAAGGCGCCAAGTTGGCTTCAGACTGAAAGATTCAGATGAAGTTTGGAAAACATCTGCATGAGTTTGACCTGATTTCCAAAAGGAGCCTAAAGCAGAGGCACCGGAAGCTAATGCTTCAATTTTATGTCTGATTCACATTTCCTGGTGAAATATTTCCTGTTAAATATTGCTGTATCAATATTTACAGTAAACTTGTTGATTTTATCTAGTTGTAAACCGACTAGATAAAATCGTTCGAGGCAAATGGTCACTAATTTTTATTCGTTTTCAGTATTTGGATCTGCATTAGTTCACAACGCAGTTTTTGCTCAAAACAAAATATTTTTCATCACCAAATGATTTCTGGATTGTTGGTCAAAGTTGTTCTGGAAGGATGTTTTCATACTTTGTTCTTTACTGCAAAAATGCAAAATGTTACCAAGTATTTTTGTTCTAGTTTGTAGAGCTAATATCTTAATACACTTGAAATTAAACAAAACTAACTTACAAGTAACTTTCAGCAAAATAAAGGTGCTTGTTTTAATATTAATTCCTCAATATCGATTAAAAAGTGCCAATTCCAAAGGCAGCTTGTTTCACTTTAATTAAGGGAAAATGTCTTACTGCAGGTAAAAAAATAAATCTATTACTTTTTAACAATATCAAGAAATGATTCACTTGAAACAATCGTTTTGTTCTTATTTCCAGTGTATAAAGATATTTTAACTACAAACCTGACCTAACTTGGAAAGACTTTGTGTTTTTGAAGTGAAAAGACAAAAAACTGAAGCAGAAATGCAGAATTACTGTCCGCACTGCAAAAACAAAATTTTACCAAGCAATTCTGGTTTTACCACAACATTTTTTCCATGTTATAAGTGAAAGAATCTGCCAGAATCTGTTTAATCAGATTTAATCAATTATTGACTCCTATGTCTTGGAAAGTTACTTGTAAGTTAGTTTAGACTTTTTTTCAAGTGTACACAGTAAATTTGGCAGTGTTAAAGCAACACCTATAGAGTTGAATTTAACACTGTTTCCGAGTCTATATGTTCCCTATCGGAATTGGTGTTAATGTTACTCTTTCAACAGTGTTACATTTTCAGAGTTAAATTTAACTCTAAATCGAGTAAAAATTTTACACTGGCTAACACTGTGCAGTGTTAATAAAACTTAACACTCCTAGTCAAATAACTCTGATAAGAGTAAATCTGATTCTAATCAGAGTTAATAAGTTACTCCATAATGATGAAAAAACTACTCTGGTTCTCATGTTATTTAACACTGCATCGAGTTATTGAGAGTTTACACTGGAGGCTCATATAACTCCTATGACTGTTAAACTGACACTCCACTGTGTAGATAATTTACTCTTTAGCTGTGAAAAAACAACTCTGCACAGATAAATATGAAGTGCTATTTTTACAGTTTTGTAGAGTGAAATGTACAACTGAATAAAAATCACATTACCACAGAAATGCATTTAACTTATTTATTGAATTAAAGCAGATTTTAATATCCACTGTTAACTTTTGTCACAGTAACATCACATGGCGTACATCCCATTGACGGCTCGAAGTTGACAGAGTACATTTAAGGCAAAGAGTTTTTCCATCCAAGTAACCATGAACACGTATGTTGTGGCAAACACGTAATGTGCCTTAAACAGTTCATCAAAAGCACCAAGAGAGGATGTTGACCTGCAAGCAATGGCATTCTTGTCAAGGATGATGAAGAACTGGTGGGCTACTTTCTTCCTCCGTCCCACAGCAAGGAGATAGGGTTGTGTGCTCGTCGTGATGGCATCAAGATGTTCTTGGATGTTGGTTCCTGTCTGTGGGGGAAAAAAGAAAAGAACAATATAATTACAAAGCTGCAATGTTCCACAAAAAACAGATATATGGAAAAACAGCATTTAACTATGTGATATCACCGTAAAACTGAAATTCTCCCAGTGAAACAACCTCGAGTATAACATAAAATAAAATTTGCAACAAATACAAACCTTCTTGAAGACCACAAGACGCTTCTCTGCTTGGGAGGCAGATACCTTCCCTGGTCTCTTACGACCCAAGGCAGAGGGGGGAATCAGGTGTAGCAGCAGCAAAATCGATGAGAGGTCACTGTCCCAACCTGTGATAAGAAATATTTGATGTTGAATTGACCATCAAAACCTAGTGACTACACAATTTAAATTATGTGTACATCACTAAGTGAAGCTCACACAATAATTGAATTCTACATATTGTTGAAAGTCATTCTTACTCATGTCATCATCCACTTCAGTGCTATCCTCAGGAGTATCAGCTGCCAGGAGAAGTTCTTCAAGGTCACTGGTGGTTGGAAGCTTCCTGCATTGTTGGATGATCTTTCTCTTGAACGTGGTCGTCCATTTTTCCAGAAACTTGCCAGACACATCTTCTCCAAACATCAGGACAAAATCCTGCTCCACCTAGGATGTAGATAGTAAAAAGCTTAAAACATTTCCCAGCCACTTTAACTGTATTCATTTTGACTTGTCACAAAAATACACTATTTTCATGAGTGTAAAATTATCAAAATAAATAATTACCAAGCCTTTGACATCTTTGAAACGTGGAAAGACAGAGAGTATGTTGCTTGACCGTTGGGGGTCAAGGACCATGTTGCGCCGGAAGTCAAATGTGAGCTTCATCTTCTTCTTGATTGTGTCCTCATCAGCTGAATGCTTAATCAGTGCGATGGCTTCCTTGCACTCTTCTTCACTCAGGACAGTCTCTGGAACAAACTTGGTGTCTCGTCTAGCAGCTGGTCCTCCAAGCCCTTGTTGACAAGATCCTTCTTCGGATGATGCTAGTAAATATAAGAAAATCTTTCAACTTACAAAAACAAGAATGAGCTTGGCTGAGATTCCAAATTCTAACCATAAGAGAAGCAGATGAAAGACAAAAAACAGTAATCACAATGAAATAGCAAGCTTATTAAATATTAAAATGAATTACAAATATAACAAACCAGTTTCATATTTGAAGGTTAGCAGAGAGATCCTTAACAACATCTTCATCCAACTCAGTCCCTGAACTGTCAACAACCTTCACGCCCTCTGTTACAGCTGGCACGCCAAATTTTGCAAATGCCAGAGAAAAAGACAAATGCTTGTCTAAACAACAATTATGAGGTTATGTTTGCTCTAATACTCACATGTGCACATAAATTCTGGAACATTACTTTTGAATAAACAATGTCAAGTAACATTACAAGCGCCTCAGAGCTTCCTGTGTAAAGCTCCCAGTGTCTTACCTGCTGTCAAAAACTCCTTCAGATTCGGCTCCGTTAGTCGGACAAATTTTTGCAGCTCGCCAAGTCTTGTTTTAATCAACATGGTTCCTGCAGCACATAATTCCTCAGTCATTCATCTTTAGTACTGGAATTCTTTCAGTTTATGAAACGTGCCAACTGCTTCACAAACCAATACAGCTCACATCACATCGTTTTCATAGAAAACAATGATTAAAGTTTACACAATAATGGCTTGGGCGCAAATTAATTTGACTTCTTTGCACTCTTATCCAAGTTAGACAATTAATAAATGCCCTTTCCTTCAGTAACTAGAACAGTTAATTCAACTGCCTCGCTTCTTCTGTTAGCACTAGCAACGGTTAATGGCGGAGTCATGCAAGGTTTACAGTAGAGCTATGATGCTGGGCACGGAAAAAAAAATCACTCGCGCCAAATTCAGTGTCAACTATGAAACTGGACTATTAGCATCGCTTACGGTTAATTTATGTTGCATTGCAAAAAATAACTAAATAAATGATAAATAAAACAAATATCTATGCTATATGGCTTGGACATGGATTTTAGGCGGGCATTTTAAGCTAGGCATTCACTCGGTCAGGTTAGCCGTATAAAACTCAGTATTTAGATATCTAGCCCACTCATATACCGGGAAACAAATAAAATATTCTTATAAAACAATTCAAACTTACCGCAGTCGTTCAAGCAGGAGAAAAATGGCGTCCACACAACGGTTAGACTTGTTGGTTTGAGAGGAGGAGGTGGGCGGAGCTTGTCAGAGTCAAATTGAATACACTCTGGAAATTTACACCAACACTAGGTGGCATTATACTCAGTCTGTTGTTGTATTAGCTCTGAAAGAGTTAATCAATTTTAACACAGCATATTTAACACTGCGAAATTTACTGTGTACTAAGTATTTGCACTGAGAACTAAGCCATAAAAACTTCAGATTTTGTGTTTTTGCAATGCCATGATTAAATGATCTTTAAATGATTGTAATAATTCCCGTTTTCTACTTTCAAGTCCCTTTGAAATCCTGTTTCTCTGTTTTGAAACCATTTCTCATTTTTCATACACTTGACATCATAAATCAAAGAAAATCCACAAATCCTCTGTTGTTAGGATCCAGATCTTGTTGATGTCTGGACTGTTTGACAAATGACTTTCCGCTGATGTTTCCTCTACGTTAGTTAACGTTCTGTAGGTGAGAGTGATGTATTTTTATAAAGCTTTAGGAAGGAGTGATGGATGGCGGGGAAAACAGCTTTTATTTAAACAGAGCCTATATGAGGCTCTTTGTTGTTCCGTGCGTGTGTGTGTGTGTGTGCGTGCGTGCGTGCGTGCGTGTGTGTGTGTGGGTGGAGTCACCCTGTGGGTTAACCATTTAAAACAGACTGATGATGACCTCCCACTTTCCTCCTCGTCCGCGGGACATTTTGCGGTTCCCTCCACTGAGAGCGCGTCGGCATCTAGTACAGACGTAACTGGTTCTTCCACACCGGTGCTGGGACGTTTACCCACAGAGGAGGAGCTGGGTTTTAACTGCACTGCAAAAACACAAAATATCACCAAGTGTTTCTTCTACTTTCTTGTGTGAATATCTTAGTACACTTGAAAAAAACTAACTTATTATTTATATTTAGCAACTTTTTCATCAATATTAAATGATTATTGACTTAAAACATGTACATATCTTAAGTTACATACAAGTTAGTTTTGTCTTATTTCAAGTGTGCTACAAACTAGACCTAAAATACTTCTGTTTTTCCAGTGTGGGGTACAAAAATGCACAATAACACTGCGAAATACAAAATTTACCAACAACTCTGTCTAGTTTTAAGCACAGATATCTTAGGAACATTTGAAAAAAGACTGTAATTGACTAAAATGGGGGGAAATGTACTCCTAAGTCTTATTGAAAAGTTGTTTAAAGTGTACTAAAACATTTGTACTAGAAATACTTGGTAAAACTTTATGTCTTTGCACTCCTGCCACCATGGCAGAACTTTTTATAGCATTTCAAACAGGGCAGGAAACTCTCAACTGTTGTAAAATCTGCAGGGAGTTTAGCCCACCTTGAAAATCAACCCTGTGGAGAAATGAATTGCTTCTCTTTCCAACACTGGAGAGCCATTCATTAAAAGATTAACTCAGATTGTACTGTACTAGGAGGTCACTGTATAATGTATTTATTTATAACATGGTAAAATTATGACTCGAAACAAGCTCCTGTATCTTTCTGATCTTTTATCAAGCATGCCAAGAGATTTCACTTGACACTTATATTTGTGTTTTTGCAGTGCAGTGGTTTTCTTCAGTCCATAGCCCCTGGGTGTTTTGGTTCTCTGTCCCTCAGAGATGAACGGAGAACCAGCTCTGGCTCTCTAACGCTTCGGGGGGGGAAACTGTCTGATCCTCCACTTCCTCCCTCCCTTCTCCTCTGCCAGACCCAACCTCCTATCAGGGGAGGAAAATCAGCATGTGGAGCAGAGGAGAGCCGCCTCATACCAACCCTGAGCTCACACAAGTTGGTCGGCTTCATTTCACCATGATGAAACTCGCTCTCACCTGCTGGTGTTGTTGATCTTTGTGTTCGGTGCAGACCTGACGGTTCAACGGACGCTTTTCTTTTGAGATTTTAATCAGCTAGCTAGAAGCACCTGGACGTGTTTGATTTTGCTTTTGGCTGACATGTTTGAGGCTGACAGGTAGGTTTGTAACATGATTTTATTTGTATAAAACTTCAGGAAAAGATGTCTCTTAATTTTAAAGGTGACCTATTATTTTAACTTGAATGGATAGGATATGTTTATGGACAATACAAAACATGCTAATTACATTGTTTGCACAAAATGATTCTAAGACTTTGAGATTTTAGTCAGTTTTAGGGAATCCTGCCATTTTAAATCCAAATTATCTGCTGCTAACCACGCTCCCCAACTCAACATTTACATTCACACGTGAAAATATCTGCAAAAAGACATACAATTATACAACTGCGCATTTTGAAAAGCATCGGTAGAGCCTCCTGAACAACCAACCATAATGAAGCAACTGGTTTCTAAATGGTAAGTCAACAAATGAACACTTGTCTTTTCCAGCAGCCATTGTACAGTGCATACAGCTGTAAAACCAACTCACCACAAGCTGGAGCTCAGCTTGCGTCGCTGGGTTACGGCGCAGCGCCTGTCAAATGTGACTTGACAGTCAGAAGGTTTTGAAACCAAAAAGCAAGAACTTATTGCCAGAAAACATTGCGGTGGGTTTTTTTAAGTGCTTGGTCTGTTTTTATAAGCAACAGAATAAAATTGTGCAAAATGTTATTTCTGTACCAACCTTAGCAACCCTACTTGGGTTGCTAGGTGACGGTGCCAAGCCGGGGTTGCTAGGTAACGGTGGACCACTCCCCCCCACCCCCCCCCTCCTTCTACTGAATGTGACTCAACATTCTGGAGTTTTCAAAACTGCTAATTTTCCAGACACCAAAAAAACATGAATGTATTGCCAAAAAACAGCTGTTTGTGCTTTTTTTTTTAAAGAGCTTGGTCTGTTTTTAAAAACAATAGAAACCCAAATGGAAGTACAAAAACATGGAAAATGTGATTTTTTCACCCCAGAAAACAATAAAATGTCATGTTTGGACACGTTTCTACTGAGGCGAGTGGATAGGAGCGGGGTTATTAGTGTGAAAGAGTGATGTTTGAGCTTGTGTTTGTCTCTGGTTGGTCATCTCCAAGGTGACTTTGCAGTGTGATGATTGATTTCGACCCCCTATCGACTGGATCCTGTGTCTGGACAAAGTCCTGCTTTAACTGCATTTGTTTTTTAATTTAAAACAAGGTTGCATACATTATTTTATTCTCTTAGTGTCAAAACTTTGTGTTTCTCATATGTACAAAAGGCAGATTATATACTTAAGGATATCCTGTAATGGATCATTTGCACTTTTTACAGATTTCTTACTATTAAATAAGTACATTTTATTTATATAGCACCTTTCACAGATAGAAATCACAAAGTGGTTCATGAGTAAAACAAACTAAACAAAGATGCACAGATAAAACTCAACATTAGTAATGTCCTTGGCAGATTATTTCAGTTATAGCACTAGAAATAATAGTAATTAGGAAATTATTCACTTGAAACGAACACAAACGAATCACTTTCATGTAAATATGTTTGCCTGTCTTTTTTCCTGTCACTTTTCAGTTTCCCAACATATAAATCAAGTTTCTCTCTGTTGCGAAATGAACTTAATCACCACTTAGTCTCCTTTTGTAGATAAGTAGTCGCTATATTTATATCAGATCTTATCTTTAGTTCTTCTATTCGTCAGCATTTGACAGGCAGGAACTGGTTTTTGTAATAAATTTCTGTTCTGGTAAAATAAAGAACAGACTCATCTTTTGTCTATTGTGCAGCCTCTTCTTTTCAACAGAGTTGGATAATAACTACTTACATTTAAGATGTGCTTTTTGGACTAGTTTTCACTTTATACTTTTACTTTAGTAATTTTGTTATGAAGTATTTCAGGATTTTCTATCCACTGAATGAAAAACAGGAAGTGTTGTGCTGCATTTTTCCAACCCTGCATGCTGGTGCCTAAAATTGTATTTTATTTTATTTTTTGCAGCTATATGACTGATGGCGGTTTGGGTCTCTACACTCGCCGCCTGAACCGACTGCCTGACAGCATGGCTGCAGTTCGAGAGACGCTCCATCGGAACGCGTCGTCAGGACAGGGAGACGCCGACAGGTGGGTACTTTTCTTCTTTCGCTCTGAAAAAACACAAAATATTATCAAGTTTTTAAGTGTAGTTTCTACTGCAAATATATCAGGACACCAGTAATGAGACAAAACTAACTTACAAGTGGCATTTAAGCAGATCTGGGCTTTTTGGTTTTATTATTTTACTTATGCATGTTCTTTAATTTTTAACTTAAATTTTGCTGCTAAATCTGGCTGAGCCCAATTAAAAAAAAGAGTTTTAAACAAAATCACACTGTTTGCTGATGATATTTTATTCATGGGAAAAGTCTTCTTTGATTTTCTTTTCTCATTTATTATTATTAATCCATCTCACAGGATCCATTTGACAGTAATTATTCCACATGTGAATTGTAAAAATAGTGACGTCTCTTGCGTGTTGGAATCTCAGTGGTTATATTATATATATTAGCGGTGCACCGATCGCATTTTCTGGACAATTGGTTTTCATAATCATCTGATTCTGGCTGATGCACTTTTTTTTGTCTGAAAAGTTGCCAAGTGCAGCAACAATAGGTATGATTCCATTGACCTTATAAAAGCACAATTTTGAAAATAAATTTACTTAATGGCAATAAATCAGTTTCAGATAATCTGAAAGGTTTTAGTTGCATTGAAATTGGCTTATTTTGCAAAACTGCAATGAAAACGCTTATTTCACATCACTTCAGCTGATTAACAACTGGATGTTACTACTGAAGGAAACAACAAAGAAGATGACAGGAAGTGGTTGGAGAATGATGCCAGCATGTGTTTTAGTGACTTATTGCATGAAGACACTTATTCACATGTGATTTTAATTGCATCTCCTGATTCAATGGAAACATCGCAATTGCGAAGTTGTGTTTTTTTGACATTAGCGAAATGTTGACAAAGATTCAGATTTCCCAAAATTAAGGAAATCTGGGTCAATGTATTGGTTCACCTGTAGTTTATAGTCAGTTGTTTCTCTCTTATCCTTTAAAAACAGTAGATATTTGTTCTGAAAGTGTAGATAGAAGTGATATTTGCATATTTATGAAACTTGTGTGTGACATACGGAGAAAGAAAAATGTCAAACATTGAAACACGATATGTGAGGCAGCACCTGGTTAATATGACCCAGTTTCAGAACCTTTCAGAACCTGAGGCAGAAAAACTTCTCAATAAGATCATTTAGCTTAAAAATATCTTTCTGGATCTGAATTTTATGTCTCACTTTAAGGCTGTATTCATCGTTTGAGATGTTAGTTCGTGTTGGATGTCACACAGAGAGAAGACGGACAGTTCTGCTCGATCTGTGACAGTTTTGTTTGTGATTTTGCTGCCGCCTTTGTCCTCAGACAGTCGGGGAAGGAATTGGCCGGTTGTCAGACAGAAGCGAATAAAGGCTGAGCTGCGCCCCACCATGTAGCCGAAGAAAGATGAGGGGGTTGAAAGAAAGACGGGCGATGGGGGAGGGAATAAAATGATGCGAAGATGGACGGCAGAATGGATGGAGACGGCTCTAAATGAATAAGGGGTAAATTAAGCGAGACAAAGGCCTGCTGTGGATGAAAACAGACGCAGAGTGATTGGTTTGTGCATTTTTTATCCAGCTATCACCAGCTCCTAACAGGAAGGAAAAAAATGTGATTAATTTCTGCTTATGACTAGATTAGTTTTAAAGTTTATTTGCATCTATAATCTGAATCTTACAACAGCGTATTTCGGCGACTGTAGAAAGAAAAAAGGGAGTAAATTCCAGCCAAAAATGCAGAAAGTTTGTATTTATGTCTGAAATTTTCTTGAAAAAAGAAAAATTCTTTTAACTCAGAAAGTCATAAATAAGCAAAAAAAAATTTAAAAAAAAACTCAGAAATGTTGAGATTACACTCAGAAATTTTCAAGAAAAAACATCCTCATAGCTAGAAAAGTTTGAAAAACTCTAAGATACTTTAGAGAAAAACCTTGGCACTTTCTCTGCTCCAAAAGTCATAAGATTGTGAGAAAAACCTCAGATTTTTTGAGATTACTCTCAGACGTTTTCAAGAAATATTTACTTTTTTTAATCCACAATGGCACACTAAAAAGTAGCCCAAACTATGTGGTAAGATTTGGTTTTTTGCAGTGCTCCCGCTCTCTCTCACTGTCCTCCCTTGACTTTCATCTCCCATTTCCTCCCTCTTTTCATGCATCTCTCCTCTCATCTCTTGGTTCTTCTTTCTTGCTTGTTTTTGATTAAAGAGTGTGATAAGTAGAACATGAAAAGCAGCTAAATGATAAAAGTTGGGGGACTTCTCATATTTTATTTTATGTTTCTCTGCGAGGTTTATAATCGGCCGACACTGCAAATTTGCTTCTCTCCTGAAGCTTCACATTTTTCCATCATGATCATGTTGCGGCTTAATTCTATATTTGGAGAAAAGAGTGGAAAAAGGAGAGGTGAGTCTCCACTCACCGCTCCAGGACTGTCTGATTAATCTCACCTCTTTAAAATTAATGGGATTAATCAGGAGGTTTGGTTCGGATGAGGATTAAGGCCACATGAGATCCAACCCTTTTCTCAGAATTTGGACTTTTCCTGAAAAAATCTGGTTTTACTCCCAGACGAATGACTTTAATCTCAGAATTTTGACTTCAATTTCAGAATTCTGAATTTTGTTTCTCAAAATTAGCTTTTACTCTCAAATTTCAATTCCCCCCCCCCTTCAGAATTCAACTTTTTCCTTTGGAAATTAACTTTTCTTTCAAGAATTTGAACTTTCATTTTCTCAGAATTCTGCTTTTACTCTCAAAATTCCGACTTTATAATCATATCTGTGACTTTAATGTCAGAATTGTAACTTTTTTTCCTTGAAAGTCTTTTCTGCACAGAATTCCAGCAGTTTTACTCAGAATTCAGATTTTTTTTCCCTCAGAATACCGGTTTTACTCTGAAAATTTGAACTTTTTTTCTTGGAAGTTTGACGTTTTCTTCAGAATTCCGATTTTTTTCCTCAAAATTATGATTTTACTCGCAAAATTCTGACTTTTTTTCCACAGGATTCTGACTTTATAGTCCGAATTTTGACTTTAATCTCATAAGTTTAAGGTCAGATTTCGAGGAGAAAAGGTTTTTAAATTTTTTACAGTGGCCCTAATCCTCTTTCATAATTTGGGAACGATTGTATAAAATGCATTGGCACACTGGAGGAAAGTCCTGGAGCTGCTGGGTTAAGAAGGGTCACTGGTTTCCTCTTGTAAAAGATGAGGCTAATTTATTTGATGAAAAGCGAGTTAATGATGCAGGTAGATGCAGCAGTGTTCATGTTCAGGACTTTAATTTACGAGCTTCACACAAAAGTCCAGGCATCTGTGCGATCTGTTGTGATTTCTCTGACCTATGCGTTTCCTTCTGTATTCTCTGGATTGCGAAGCAGCCAAGTGTTCAGGAGAAGCAGGCGGCTGAAGGGCGGGAGGTGTCGGGCGCTCACGTGACGCTGGGGTAAAAACGCCATGACCCCTGAACTCTCAGGTCACAGGCTTCAAAGGGCTGAGGTTCACATTTAGGAAAACCTTTAAAGCTTTCACGCCGAATGTTTTCCGATCAAACCAGACCTAGACTAATGAGCAGACGGGGGAGAAACATGACGTGTTGCTCAGCAGCTGTGCAAAATGACTAACATATTTAATGTACCTGAAGTATTAAGTGGAACCAAAGCTGAGTCATGAAACAGCAGACCGTTAATGTACAATAGACAATAGAGAATAGAAACTGTACTTATGTGTAAGAGAGCTTTCTTATCCTGTCATTAATCTCTGTGGCTGAGAAAAGAGGAAGCAATCTATTATGGTCTGTCCTCTGGTTTGAATCCTCTTTGTTAAAGAAGACAAAGAAGAAGAGGTCTTTGTTGTCTGAAACTGCTGTGAGAGCACAAAGCACCCACCCCCATCTTTTTCTCTTTTGTTTTTTTTTCTTACTAATAGCTGTGTTTACATTTTGCAAATTGGAATTATGAAAATACATTTGCTTAATGGAAACACAGCAATTAAAAAAAATCACGCTTTTCAATAGAAAGTTTTTTTTTTCGCATCACACAAGTCATGTGATCAACAACAGGATGTTGCTACTTGCGGAAACGACAAAGAAGACGATAGGATGATGGTATGTTGGGTATGTTGTGCTTTTTACTGCATGAACAAACTTACGTGATTTTTATCGCTTTCCTTTCGTAATGGAAACATTACAACTGTGAAGTTGTGTTTTTTTCTTTCTACATTCTAGCGGGATATTCACAAGGTTTTTGCACATTTGTAATGGAAATGCAGCTGTTGAGTATCATTTGTCTGTTGCACACGAGGAAATAAATGTTCATTTGTTTAAAAAGTCAAAAGAAAGTAAACAAGAGAAGTGTCGGGTTAAGAGCTTTCGTGTGAGAAGCTTTATTTGTGAAAGGCTGCAGCTTCCAGGAAGGGGTCGTTCATGGGAAGGAGAAAGAAAAAGATGTATTTAGATTTATTTTTTTTTTAGTTTAAATAATTCATTTTTATTTGCCCTAAAGCATTTTATATCCTTTGAAAAAATTTCCCTATATGGAAAATCCGCTGCATTGATTCTGATAAATGAATTTGTGATCCATAACAAGCCAAAGTGATTTTTTTCACTGAGGAACAGCCTGCTGTAGGATTAGTTTTTGCTGGCCTGTGCAGTGTTTTTGTTTTTTAGGCATTGTGTGATGCATCGTAAAGTAAACTCAGTCTAATGCACCAACAGACTCCTTCATCAGCGCTCGTTAAAGCCTGATCCCTTCTGCCGCCGTCGTTACCTTTGCATTGTAAACTTCATGCTTTTGTGGACATCTTTGCATTTCTTCGCCTTTTCAGACTCACTAAGCAAATAAAACAAATGCTTCCCACTAAATCTCTCAACAACTAATCTCTTAAGTCCTTTACACTGCATAGAAAGACTCATGATTTATTATTCCACTAGTAATAGGGAGAGGAAACTGCAGGCTTTGTTTGAGTTGTACCTCGGAGCAATGTGACAC